ATAATGCAACAATATAAAAATCTGTAATATTAATTCGTAGATTTAAAAGTATCGTATTTAATTTCACGTTACATCCTAAGATTACAAGTTAAGGGAAAAATAAAGAAAGAAAGAAAGAAATAGTTGTTCACCCTGTGCAAACACAGTAGCAAAGAATCGTAATTTTTTATTGCTCAACCCCCTACTACTATCCCTCGTTTMCTTTTTTTTTTATTTTTTTTACTTTTACTTTTTCCTTTTTTTTCTCTTCTTCTTCTTCTTCTTATTTTCGCAAAGAAGAGAGAAACATATTTCTTCTCGCGAAAAAATAATACTTCGATACACCACCATCATCATTATCATCATCATCATCTAGGGCGAACGAACGATTTTCTACGAACGTTGTGCAACGACGCAGWGTTTTATTTTCTCTTATACAGTTCGAAAGATTCTTCTGTAAAGTGCACCTTATCATGCGAGATTTTGCATTCTACTATTGTTTTCGAATATACTTCCTTCCTTCCTTCCTATATCGTCCAGTTCCTTTATTTTTCMATCACGCGTTTTCATACTTTCATACGATGATTCCACGTAAAAAAATTTGAAATAATAATAAACGTCATGAATTCCAAAGAAAAAAAAAAAAAGAAAGAAATCTTTTAGATTTAATCTTATTAAAAATCAAATCAAAATCAAATTAAACCGGGTTAATAAATACCGTATAAAACAGTGAATGTATAATGATTAATTAATTAATTAATTATCGATAGAAACTATCAACGTTTATAAAAAAGGAAATAAGACGAAATAAAATAGGAGAAGAATAAGAAGAAAAAGAAGAAGATAGCATGACTAATGTCAAGAAGATAAACGGCACAGTAAACAAGGCGTAACTCGTGAAGGTGCAGTAGAGATTTCTAGTGGAAACGGACCAGAAATTCTCAAGGGAAACCCCTCGTCAGAAAATTGTTAGGACTTCCGTTAGCAGAAGCAGATCTTCTGTCATTGTACCGACTTGTAATAATAGTACCACCCTTTTTAACTTATTCTTATGGTTATAATAATAGAAGTTTTAGTATACGCGTATCTATATATATATAATAATTATAATGATTATATATTTATAATTATAATTTTTTTCACGTTCCATAATTCCAACAATATTTCAACGGGACAAATAAAGAAAAATAGATTTTGATCATTACCAAAATAAACGGCTCGCATTATGTATGATAATAATGTTATTATAAAAGTAATTTCGTATAGGGAACCAACATTCCGCTAATTAAAATTCTTGACTTGTCAAATAAGCACACTATAATTTGTAAGACAGATAAGAAGTATTTTTTCGGAATATACACATATTTGAGAGAGAAAAAATAAAAAAAACACGTGATAAAAACGACAAAATAATTTGGAAAAAAGAACTTGTCGTTAAAATATTTTCATTTACTAGAACACAAATTGTAGGTATTAATTGGACGCATTGGAAAGCTCTTAATTTTCTTTTCAAGTATATTATCCCAAAATATGGTGTTTTATAATTATTATTTGAATACGAATAATCATCACTAGTGTGCGCAGTTTATTTATGCGCATGATTGCTACGCTAATACGCTACTATTATGTTACGTAATTAAAAGCTACGATGTATATATATATATATATATTTCTCTCTCTCTCTCTCTCTCTCTCTCACTCTTTCTCTCTCTTTCTCTCTTTAAATTGTTCTAGTCGTTCATATAATCTTCTTCTTCATTCGCGACAGAACCAACGAACGTTGTCCTCGTATATTATATACCCCCAATACGATCCAGTATCCTATAATGTANGCACACATGAAGGGTGATACGTTCTTTTGAAGGTTTAAACCCCTGAGCACACCTTTGATTTTTCGAACTGACGGTCCTAGATGGTAGTTTTTTCCAATATAGTGCCGTTTCATCGTCGTTAAAAATCTGATCAGGTGACTAAGGAACTTATGGGATGTTCTTGAACGGAAACCGCGCTGTAAGAGTACCGCGTAAGAGGAGGGCTGTCGCAATTTCAGCAGTGCGTTATATAGAAATCGCGATCTGCGAGTGCCGTGTTATAGGAGGTTTGAGTGTATATATATTTATAATTATAATTTTTTTCACGTTCCATAATTCCAACAATATTTCCACGGAACAAATAAAGAAAAATAGATTTTGGTCATTACCAAAATAAACGGCTCTCATTATATATATATATATATGTGATAATAATGTTATCGTAAAAGTAATTTCGTATGAGGAACTAACATTCCGCTAATTAAAATTTTTGACTCGTCAAATAAAACACTATAACTTGTAAGATAGATAAGAAGTATTTTTTCGGAATATACATATATTTGAGAGAGAGAGAGAGAGAGAGAGAGAAAAAATAAAAAACACGATATAAAAACAACGAAATAATTTGGAATAGATATTGTCGTTAAAATATTTTCGTTTATGAGAACACAAATTTTGGGTATTAGTTGGACGCCTTGAAAAGCTTTTAATTTTCTTTTCAAGTATATTATCCCAAAATATGGTGTTTTATAATTATTATTTGAATACGAATAATTATCACTAGTGTGCGCAGTTTATTTATGCGCATGATTGCTACGCTAATAGGCCACTATTATGTTTCGTAATTAAAAGCTATGATGCATATATATATTTCTCACTCTCACTCTCTTTTTCTCTCTCTTTCTCTCTTTAAATTGTTCTAGTTGTTCATATAATCTTCTTCTTCATTCGCGACAGAACCAACGAACGTTGTCCTCGTATATTATATACCCCCAATACGATCCAGTATCCTATAATGTATCGTCAAGTATTAGTCGTTTTATTTCTACTYCCAGTGATACTTGCCATAGATTTTRAAAATATCGACAAACCACCCCTTGTCGAAACTAGATTTGGATTTGTCAYAGGAAAATGGAGTAAAAGTTTCAAAGGATTAAATATTGCYAATTTTCTTGGTATACCGTATGCGGAACCACCAATCGGTAATCTACGATTTCGTGTAAGTTTTCAAATGGTTTTATTAATGATTTATCRTTTATTTGAAAAMATTGTTATATACAGTTCTAAGCAAATAATTATTGTTTCTTATTTTAAACACACACAACCCTTTGTGCATTWCTTTCCGTAYGAGTCAACTGACAGTTTTTTCTTTTTCTTTTTCTTTTCATTATAATAATATAATAATTTTTCTTCTTATTAAAAATATTATTTTGTTAAATGTGACACACACACAATAAAAAAACAATATCGAAATGAATATTTATAATTATATATTCAATAATTTGCGGAGAGAAACGAAATATACAATTTGTTTATTTTATTATATTACAATAATGATTTTTTTGGTTTCTTTTTTTTTTTTTTTCTCTTTGAGTTTTGCCTTTAAAATGTAACCGTTATATTATTATCAAAATGCTATATACTTTTTACTTTTATTTTCATTAAATCATTTCCAGAAAAAATTCGAGTACTAATTGGTTAAGTATACTAATCGTATGTAAATGGCATCGTTTACATCGATGATTGACAGTTTTTGATAAAAACAATATGATACGACGCACGTGTGTAACACAGGCATTGGCTTTTTKCACATAATATGTAATAAAATATTCATTTTTAAAAGGAAAAAAAAAGAAAAAGTATATCGTTCACCATCCAATCGGTTAAAATCTTATTCTATATTAATACTCATGATCAAGTCCTCTCATTCTAATTAAAAAAAGAATTTTTTCCTATACTCAAGAACGATTTTATTAATTTTATGATTCGTACGGAACAAAAGAAAATAAAATAAGATAAGAATATATAAATGAATGAATAATAATCACTTTTGAATAATCTTTTTTTTCTTTTTCAGAAACCAAAAGCATGGAATCGTTCATGGGACGTATTGAAAGCACAATCGGATGGTCCATCGTGTATTCAGTTAATCAAACTTAACACCACAGTTGGCTCAGAGGATTGTCTTTATTTAAACGTCTTCGTTCCAGCAGTAAAGTAAAATAAATAAATAAATAAATAAATGCATATATACATATATAGAGAAAGAACAAAAATTAAAAGCAAAAAGAAAAAGAATTGGAAAAAATAAAAGAAAAAAAATGATGTTGTAGAACAAACATTGCATGTGGGCGTAAAATGATTATTATTATTTTAAATCTTTATATAAAAATGTGTGTTCATATTATTGTGAAACGCGTATATAAATAAATTAATAACAAAAAGAAAAAAAGAAATTGATGTGCGGATATATACCAAAACGACGGGAATACAAAAGAAAAGAAAAAAAAAATAAAAAGAAAAAAGACAGCACAAGAAAACATCGTTAGCAAGTACAACATGAAGAAAAAGTCAAAAAATAAAAAAAAGAAAAAGAAAAAGCTATAACGTGAACACGACAAGGAGAAAAAATAAATTTGTATACATCTCGAGTACTTCAAACCAAGTGCACTTGATCACATCTAACTCCCATCAAAATACGAATACAAACGGATCGATTGCTATATCCTACTAGTTAAGTGATGGTGAAGTGGTGATGGTTGGTGGTTGGTGGTGGTGGTTGGTGGTGGTGGTGGTTGGTAAACTAGTAGTACGTACTACTTCCCGTTGAAATCATTTTATTTTTAAGCAAACGTTAAAGTCGAGTTTTAACACAAATAACACGAACGTGGCTTTTGTTGACAAAACGTTTGCGAGCCACGAAAAATATTAATAAAAAAGAACAAAAAGAGAAAAAAAAAGAAAAAAAAGAGATAACGAATTTTCCGACTCATTCGAAATGGAACACGASCATGATTACGTCGCAAGGTTATATCACGTGATTTAATTAAATATAAATGAGCCAAGGTTGTATACGCTGTCATAGCCATATTTCAGTCACTTAAAGCTACATCTCTGAGCTTCGTATGCTTATGAACATATAATACATATTATAATACATATGTATATATTAATTATATTTTTATAAATTTAACGAATCCATATATATATAATTATTAATTTATTTGATTATTTTTCAATCGTTATAGAATCGACCAGATGYAAAACATTCTAAACACCCTGTATTAGTATATATTTTCGGTGGAAAATTTACTAATGGTGACAGCAATAGCAAATATTTCCAACCAACTTATTGGGCCGATCAGCTAGTTATTCTAGTCGCTTTTAATTATCCATTGGGTCCTTTCGGTAATTTTCCTTCTTGTTTTGTTTTATTTCTTTTTTTTCTAAATTATATTAATTCAAATTATAGCAYAAATATTCTTAAATGATTTTACAAATATTCAATATGTTTTTCGAGACCTTTTGGAGAAGCTCCTCTTACGCAGTTTTGCATTTTTTTTCCCGTCATTTAGGAATTTTTGGAATATTTGAAATAATAAATTTTTCATTGGACTGTATTGTCGTTCTGTAAATTACAAAATTGAATTTATCAAAAAAATACGATATATCTTTTATTCTAGGATTTTTCAGTTTGGGTAATGGTATTGCCCCAGGTAATTATGGATTAAAGGATATGGTGATGGCCTTGAAATGGATACGACAAAACATAGAAAGTTTCGGCGGCGATCGAAATTCCGTAACAATGATGGGTTCAAGTTCCGGTGCAGCTTCCATTCATATTTTAGCATTATCGAAAAAAACTGATGGGCTTTTCGATAAATATATATTACATAGTGGTACTGCATTAGCACCATGGGCAATTAATTCCAAAGATAAAATAAGAGAAATTTCTGAAAGTACGGCCAATTATTTAGGTTGTCCAACAACATTAGAYGTCACTAATTATTTAATTAGTAACTCGATCGTTATAAATGATAATAATGTTATTAAAAAAGATTGGAATTTTCAAAATACAACCGATACTTCGAAAACAATTGATTTAGAAACGATTCAATGTATGAGATCATTTGATGCCGAATCTATCTTGATTGCACTGTCACATCACGTAAAAACAACAAATTTATATTATATTATTTATCCATTAAAATATTAACAAATAGAAAATATTTATTATATTAATTAATTACCCAATAGAATTTTATACAACAAATATATTTGTCATTTAATATATTTATATCATATTTAATATAATTATTACAAAGGTTTTTTATTTTTATTTTTATTATAGTATTCTCAACATACCCATCCGTATTGCGTTTTTGTACCGACAATCGAGGATGAGTCGAGTGAAGCCATTTTAACGATGCACCCTATAGAAATAATAGAAAAAAAACTTTTCCGTGATATACCCGGTATAATGGGAGTAGTTAATGACGAAGGTTTACTCAAGACACGTGGTAAAATTATTTATCTTTATATTTCTTTAATATTATTATATATTACTGTTACTATTATTATTATTATTATTATTATTATTATTATTATTATTATTATTTAAACGGTTAACTTTTAATAAGATTTTTTATAATTAAATCGTAATGATTTAAGTAAACAGAATTCTATTTAGATTTCTACGTGGACTCTGAGAAGCTTAGAATATTTGTAGATAAATTTAACACGATACTTCCAAACTTTTTGGAAATGCCATACGATGTTAACAATTTACATGGTTTYGTTAACGCCATCAAAGATTTTTATTTTGACAACAATAATATTAATACACAATTGCAAAAGATCACGGAGGTGAGTATTTTAGAAATATTAGATTTATCATTTTTTTTTTTTTAATCATGAATTTAAAAATATTTATATTATAATATATATTATTTTTAGATGACAGGCGATGGAATATTTACATGGCCAACGTACAAATCAATTAGTTATTTATCGAAAGTCATGAAATCAAATTTGTATTTATTTTATTTTAATTATTTTGGAACATTTAGTTATACTCAAGAATTTGGTTCAAAACCTCTAGGTATACAAATTTATTTTTTCTTTTTATGTAATTGAAAAGAAAAAAAACAAAAAAGAAAGAAACAATAAGAAAAATAAAAACACAAATTTTTGTTCACCACAGGTATCTCTCATTCCGACGATATTAAATATTTGTTTCCACCAGCTAAATACGATTCATCGTTTATTACTAAAAGTGATACAATCATGATCCACGTGTTGATAGAATTATGGTCAAATTTTATAAAAAATGGGTAAGAAATAACGTTATTAATTAWGCGTTTAACAAATAACAATAAAAAATCAAACAAATCAAATGAAAATCTCAATTGGAAAATTATGATCATAGTATCTTTAAATGAAATATTATTAACGAGAATTTGTGAGAAAGGGGAATAGAATTAAAAAAAAAAAAAAGAAAAAATAATGATTATATAATTAATCGTATATAAATCGAGATGATGATAGAATTGGGATAGAGAAATTAATCAACGAAATGCATAATTATCATTAAATTATGATCATAGAGAGATATGGAAACATATTTGAATATATAGTCTTGTATCAAACCCATATCCGGATCCTAACTTCCAACGTTATCAACGTTGGCACAACATTCGACCGACTGTAATCCAGATGATCCTTGGATCCTAATCGCTATTACGTATTTACAGGGTGCCGAGTACTTGGAGTGTACCCAATTGGCCTGCGTATCGTAATCATCACGAATTCCTGGTTTTCAATGGTAACCAAGAAGTTAATATAACGTTAGAGAATCATTTTTTAATTGAAAGAATGAACTTTTGGAATAATTTAATGTACAATTATACTGACAAATATCCAAAATGGTATTTATATAACGAAAATATCATCAATGGTAATAACGGTTGTTATCATAAATAACGAAATATCTTTATTTTTAAACTATATTGTTTACAATTGTCTCGATAACATATTATATTTTCTTTTATTCATTTGATAAATGATTATTATTACATCTATTATGTATATTAAAATCTGATATCGTATTAATATAATTGATATTCTCCAAATTTTCTTTACAATTATCTTACGTGTGGGTACTTTTAACAAAGTATAAGAAAAACAATTAAAATTTAATAAAATTAAATTATGACAAAACGGAAATAAATCTTAAATAAAGTATTAAAATATATAATAATAATAATAATTGTTTAAGATAAATGTGTAAGAATATTTATTATATATCATTCTATCGTATGTGATTTTAATATCTCATGGTAAGATAATGCAACAATATAAAAATCTGTAATATTAATTCGTAGATTTAAAAGTATCGTATTTAATTTCACGTTACATCCTAAGATTACAAGTTAAGGGAGAAAGAAATAAAGAAAGAAATAGTAGTTCACCCTGTGCAAACACAGTAGCAAAGAATCGTAATACTGGTTGGTAGGAGAGATATATCCCATGGGATAGGGAACCAACGTTTCGTTGGCCTAACGTTACAGGGCTAATAAACGAAAGCCATAATGAAATTCGCTTGAAATAAAGTTCACCGTGGAAGAGAGTTAACGCATATATAAAATATGCAGCATTCAGTTTCGTTGCTTTCTACAACCTACGTCCCCGACGTGTTCTCCGAGAAATTAATCATCTACCTTCCCCTTTTAATCCACTCATCCTTTCTTTTCCTCTCTCTCTCTCTCTCTCTCTCTCTCTCTCACTTTTACTCTCTTACTCTCTTTCTTTCTTTTTCTAGGTATATCTATAATTCTTTTGTTTTGTCTTCCTTTAGTTTTCTACTTTCTATTATATTATATTTATAATACTGAATTTTAAAATAAAATAAGATATAATAAAAATAATAGAATACAATTTTCAATATAATTATAAATAATGTGATGATCATATTTGATATATATATAAGATTATAAATTTATAGGATTTTTACGTCGATAGCGTAAAAGAGATATTCTATTTTTATAAAAAGAGCTAGACGAGAGAGAGAGAGAGAGAGACGTTAAAATAGATAACACACAGGATGATGTACAATGAAAGAAAAAACAATTGGCGAAAAAGGGCGCAAGCTGCGCGTTAGTAAATTCCAATTATTTTTCTAACTCGTACTACCACTGACTCGAATAACAAGAATGGAAGAGACGAAAAGATAGACAAAGACAAAGAGAAAGAAACAGAGAGAGAGAGAGAGAGAGAGAGAGAGAGAGAGACAGAGAGAGAGAGAGAGAGAGAGAGAGAGAGACAGAGAGAGAGAGAGAGAGAGAGAGAGAGAGACAGACAGACAGACAGAGAGAAAGTAAGAAGGAAGAGAAGAAAAATATTTGTTCGTATTTTAATAAAAAAAGAAGCAGAGAAAAAACAATATTCAAATAAACCGTATGAACTTTGATTAGAAAGAAAAAAAAAAAAATATATATAGGCTCTCGAAAACGTATAGAAAAAAAAAAAAATATCTTGCACGTATTTTGAGACGAGGATAAAAAAAGTATTTAAATAAATTTGCACACGAGAGTGTGCGTTGTGTCGATCGATGAAAAAGATGTTGCAAAACCACGTATAAAGGGGGGGGGGGAAAAGAAATAAAAAAAGAAAGAGAGAGAGTGAATTGAAGTAGATTCATTGATTGATGATTTGCATAGACAAATAAGTTCGAATTCTGATGAAGTTAACGTTAATCATAGTGTTTCGTTCAACACTATCGTACAATTGTTTTTCGAGTGGTTTTCGCACTAAAATGGGAGACCACGTTGACGTTGACGAGAGCCTAGTTACATTTAAAGCCCTTAATACCTCTTTCTCTTTCCAATTCATAGTACTTCTCCTCCTCTTCTTCTCTTTTAGTACTTCCGTTTGATCAAGTGTTGTTTACCATAGAAACGGATATCGTTTCTTCCGATCGAACGATTTCTCAACGCGAATTAACGAAGGAAATTCGCGGCTTTATCCTAGGGGAAAAAAAATCGACCCGATTCGATCAATCATTATCATTGATTTAACATCAAATTTTCAACGACTAATTCGAAATTGCGAACTGAAACGATTGATCATTTTTTTTTTAATTCGTTTCTAAATCTGTCTATGTGATTATGTTGAATAAACGAATAATCATTTATTAAACGTAATTTAGACACGTATGTTAGGCAAAAGATAATTAGATTGTGATATAATAAATGTTAACAATCGTTGGTATTGTAATATCACGATTGTAATATTTGTTGATCGAAATTACGTTGCATTTGATTGGTTGACAATATTTTTCTCATATTACCTTCTAATTAATTATTATATATATATATAATTAATTAGAATAATAAATAATATATAAATATTATATATATATATATAAAAATGAAAATCAAATAACAAAACCATAATATCAAATCGTAATCTTCGATTTGTATTATATTACATTTTCGATCGAAATAAATAGAAAAGAAAAAAAATAAGTGAAACCAACCAACCAACCAACCAATCATTCAAACAACGAATCCCATAAGAATAATATAATATCACCTCAACGAGGATTATTAACAATTATATATATCACCCGAACTTTAATCACAATTTGTATTATCAATCGAATCTAAAAAAGTACGACGATAATGGGGGGTATGGGGGAAGAGAAGATGCAAATATAGGATGGAGGAGGAGGCGTAGGGTGGTACAGGGTTGCGTCAGGGTTGAAGATATGCAATGGAAAACTGACATTTGTAGTAACAATACCCACCCTGTAACACCCTCCACACCTTTCCCCTGAACTACCACCCAGTGTTAGTTCAGTCCAGTCTCTTTCAACGTGCAAAATGCAAATTGAGAAGCATCGATTACGATACAGAGACGCATAGTTGTAGTCCTAGTTGTGTCCTAGTCATGGTGGTCGTTTGCTTGTGGTGGTATCGGATGACAACATCGTCGTCGTAGGGTCATAGGTCGAGTAGTATGCCCCTAGGGAACACGAGGAGATCACGCGAACTGGCTCGTACAATGCACTAATGCGACATATTGTTCGAGCCAGCAAAAATTGCCCCTCGTTACATGCGTTCACAATAGTCAGATAGTCGTTCTTGTCATAGTAGTAGTAGTCGTAGTCTCGTTTCTCTACACACTAGTATATAGATTTATATATATATATATATATATATATGTAACACCTCCACCGTCACCTAAATCCACGTTCTCTCAATAGTACCTTTCGAAATTACACCAACTAACTATTCATCATATTGCATTCTTCTCATTCTTTCTATTTCTTTTGCATAGCCATCAGTGGGATGCACATTCGGACTAGATATATATATTTCTTTTTTTTTTTCTTCTTCTTCTTTTTTTTTTTTTTATTACAAAGAAACAATGAATTGTTACCACGAGACAGGAGCAGCAGCAGCAGCAACTCGATCGAGTCTGAACGATAAATGTTTTCACTTTCCAACCCCCTCCCCTTTACCATTACCTACCTCCTAACTACCTTCCCTTTTTTTTTTTTTTTTACTTTACATAGAATATATACAATACATGCGCGCATATGCATGTAAAACTTCTTTTTTATTCATTCTTGGTACCTCTTTTATACATATATATATAGTTATACTGTGCTATCATTCGAGAATGCATCTTTTATATACGTTAGAGTTAAATTTATTTCAAATTTTCTGAAGAAGACAGGATATATAGAATTTCTTTTTCTCAAAGGGTCAATCTTTTTAAACTTTACTTATTTTTTTTTTTTTCCTAATTGTTGTAACGGATTATCTCATCTTAATTGATTCATTTTGATTTTTTCTCACCCGTATGTTTTCTATGTAATACATATAAACATATATTTTTGTTTATTATTAAATAACAAGGAGTAAACAAAAAAAAAAAAAATATGATAAGCGAAAACACGTAACAATTGATTAATGAGAATATAAACGATAAGACGGGTTAAATTATTTCTTTCGTATTTAATACTTTTGGGAACTATTTACTCGTTAATAAGTTTTCCTCAATATAATTCTCACTTCAATAATTTATTACTTGATAATTAATTTAATGTGTTAGTTGAGATATAATTCTACAACCGATCCGGAACTTTCACGTATTATCTATGTACACACACACACACACACACACACACATATATATATATCAGTTCTTACTAATAGCAAAACGTTATATATATATACATATATATATTTGAAAGAGAGAGAGAGAGAGAGATAGAGAGAGAAAGTTCGACGAGCACCATGATGCCCGTAGACATCGAAAATTCGATTAATTGGTAAGCGAAGCTACCTCCCAAGGCCGTCGTCTGACGTCTTACGGTAAGACGGTAAAGTCGGTTTAGAGACGAGGGTTATAACATTATCGTATAATCTGTTGTATCCCCATGACGAAAAAGAGAGAGAGAGAGAGAGAGAGAAAGAGAAAGAGAGAGAAAGGATGTAAGGAAGTCTGTAAACGTTGCATGGCTTTCAAGGTAGCAGATGCAAACCTTCTTCGATATGAGAAAATGAATATTTCAGAGTTCTTGAAAGTAACTATGTATGTATGTATGTATGTATGTGCAAAAGAGAGAGAGAGAGAGAGAGAGAGTAAGAGATAAATAGATAGAATGTTCTCACCGACTTTCCTCTAATCTAACATCCACACCTCTAATTCGGTCTTAAGATTCACGCCTATTCCATATTTGACCAAAACTAGGAACGGTGGTGTAGGATCCCGAGTACTTGGATTACCATCCCTCTTTCTATTTCTATCTCACTCATTCTAACTTTAATTCTATCTCTCTCTCTCTCTCTCACACACAATTTGTCTCACCCTATCCCTTTTCGTTCTCTCATTCTACTTGATTCTATATCTATCTCTTTGTGTGTGTGTGTGTCTCTCTCTTTCCCTCTTTCCCTGTTTTGCCGTATAAATGCATACGAAATTCTTGGCCTTACCTATCCTTTAGGCTA